TGATTTTGGGTCATCCTGTTTCTGCAATAAGATTTGATTCTTTTTAAAGATGAAAAACTCCGTTCTGCACATGCTGTTGTTGAAGCCAAAGTTAAGATGAATTTACATAATTTAAAAAACTTTAAAACTTTTCATCAAATTGGTGCATATTAAAAATTCAAGTATTTCATTAACATTCTTTTTCTTTCTAAATTGAACATCCCAAAACACTACCTTTAATTAGGTTTCCAGCTTGTGTATGTCAAAAAATTGAGAATAAGTGTCATTTAAATTATCTAATAAATATTTTGGGTAATTAATTATTTGGAATTTACTAATATCTAACAATTCGGCGAATTTTATATTTTTGGTGTAAGAAATATGAAATAGAATTAATCAAATCATTTAGAATATTGCTTGATAGTCCAATAAAAACTGCTCTATTTCTAAATGATGTTTCAATAGTAAATTTTGTTCCGCGAGCAAATAAATTAATACAATATAATTTCCTCTTCATCATCACCATGGAATACGAGCTCCTGAATTCCAAGAAAACATATAGAGTTAGTTGATCGATATTTTGAATATTTCTCTATTTGATTTGACTTTAGAATTATGCTGTTCGATTGATATTTTGCGCATCGAATTTATCATATTTTCATTACGATTTTGGCCGAATGTTTTTAATTGAATCATCGACTGCAAATGAGCGGTTAATTCTTTGCCGTTTAACTGCCTTTGAAAAATTATTCATATCCGAAAATCCTTTATCATTCCAAACATATTTTTCCTTTGGGAATAATAGGCATGACCAACAATATAGAGAATTATAAAATTTACATCCAGTGAGCCATTAATATTTTTCATATTTATCGATAGAAAAATTATGGATGCAAGTTTTTCTTTTTTAAGTTTTATAAAATTGGTTTTGGTCTTTCTTTTTCAATAATCAATTTTTTCGCATCAAAATTTCTTGAGCTAAATGATGTTAATAAATTCTCAATAATACAATTATAATTATTAAACATTAATTAAGGATTTTAAAAACGAAAATTTTTTTATTTTAATAAAGTAAGGAAAAAAAATATTATATAAAAAAATTTCTTTCTCTTTTATTTATTAAATAAGCATTTTTTTATTTGCTTCCCCAATGCTTATTTTTTAAAGGTAAAATTATACAATACCATGGCATGATTTTCTCTTTATTTAATAAAAAAAATAAGCAATATTAAATTTGCTTCCCTCATGTATATTTTTTTTTCGTAGTAAAAATAATAGTAAATTTTTTAACGTAGTAAAAATAATAGTAACATTTATAACGTAGTAAAAATAATAGTATTTCTTAATATAGAAAAATAATATCATTTTTTTAGCGTTATAAAAATTATATTAATCTTTTTAACGTTATAAAAATTATATTAATCTTTTTAACGTTATAAGAATTATATTAATTTTTTTAACGAAGTCAGATTAGTTTATTAAGCATAGTACAAAGATTATATTAAGTCTATTTAAAATTTTTGCAAGAAAAATTTCAAGGGAAGCAATGCTTCCCTTGCTTCTATGGACGCTTCGTCACTGGTTTATAGATTCTCATTATGATAATTTTCTCAATTAAATGAACATTTTATTATTAATTTGAGAAATAGGATTATCAATGATATCATTGTGATAATCCTATTTTTCACCATTAAAATTTTTTTTTATAAATCATTTAATTTATATATTATGTATTTTATTTAGGTTAAAGAATTGGCCTATCAATTAGCAATAAAATATAATAAAAAAATTCCACCCAATTGGGACGAATTTAAAATGGCCGAAGATGATTGGTTTTCTGGATTTATGAAAAGACATCTACATATCTATACGAACTCCAGAAGCTACAAGCTTAGCTAGGGCCTCTGGTTTTAATAAATCTAGTGTAGATTTATTTTTTAGCCTTTACAGAGATATTCTTGATAAACATAAGATGCCACCATTCGCGATATATAATATGGATGAAAATGGGCTAACAACAGTACAAAATCCTAGTAAAATAATAGCTCACAGAGGTCAAAAGCAAGTGGCAGCTATGACATCTGCTGAGAGAGGAACGCTTGTAACAATAGCTCTCGCTATTAATGCAGAAGAGATGGGCCTAATTGTTGTATAGGTCGCTCAAATGGGTCCGGCTGGATGCAAGAAGCTGAATTTATGGTATACTTAGAACATTTTGCAGATCATGCAAGGCCACTACCTGAAAGGCCTGTATTATTGATTATAGACAATCATAGTTCGCACCAATCTCTTGGTGCCATAGATTTTTGCTTAAAATCTGGTATTTTCTTATTCTCCTTACCTCCACACACCACTCATAAAATGCAAACCCTTGACAGGTGCATTTTTGGGCCATTAAAAAAATATTATAATAACTCTGTAGGCTACTGGATGCGCAGCAATCCAAATAAATTATTTAGTATTTATAACATTCCAAAAATAGCAAGAGATATATTACCTCAAGCCCTAACTATTAAAAATATTATTAAATCATTTGAGTAATTCTAATATATTTGAAGAAATTGATTATTTACCCATAATTTTTAAAGACATTAGTCAGACATCATTAGAAAAATCAACAACTGAACCCCCTGTAAATTTAGAAAATAATACCTTACTGGCCTCAGAGTCAGAGCCACAAGAGGCTACAACTTCTCTAAATTATAATGATAATAGTCAATACAAACAAGATAATTTATTTGATATTGAGAATATATATCCACTTCCCGAAATTGTGAGAAATATAGACAACAAAAGAACAAAAAAATCTGAAATATTTACATCTTCGCCTTATAAAAAGATACTATTATCAAATATAAATAAAAAAAAGTAGAGCTAAAATCTCAAAAAAACTTATATTACCTCTGGGTAATAACAAAAAGAATGAAAACAAAACAAAAAATATTAAAAAAATAAATGAAAATATTTGCATTTTATGTCACAAAAAAATATAAAAAAATTATGAAAAAGAAGATTAGTACCAATGCATGGGTTGTAATGGATGGGCACAGGGAAGTTGTGCCAAATTTGATAATTTTATAATGTGCAATAAATGTAATTAAATACTTATCTTTCACTATGTTTATGATTTAAAAAAAAATTTTTTTACATTGTTTTTTTTACAATTTTTTTTTCCACAAAATAAATTTCCTAAATTTTGCTAAAAAATTTTTTATATAGTTATTGATTATGAATTACAATATTATAAATAAAATCATATGTGTCATAGTCTCTAGTCTTACTGGATTACTGATTTTAAATTTATTTAGACCTCTATTTCACGAGTGTCCCAACTATCACATATGTGTGTCCCAACGTACACAGAGTCTGTCATGGTTGGGACAAAAAAAATTTTTTTTTTAATTCAAATTTCTAAAAAAATATAATCTTCATAAAATATATATTATTTCAAATAGCCTATACTTATGGGATTCAGAAGATTTTTTAATTATTCAGATTAGTCTATTAATATTAAAATTATTAAGGTTTGAACGAAAAGTGTCCCAACCGTCCCCGGTCCCCCCTACATTGTTAATAATGGTATTATATAAAGAAAAAATATTTGAATAATGATTTAAAGTTGATAATAATTTATTATGTTATATCGGATATAAAAGACACAATTTTTATAATTTAAAGGACTTTTTTAATTTTTTTACTTTTTTACATATAATTTTAATTTTTACTTTTATTTTATATTTATTTTATTTTATTTTTCTTTTATTTTGATTATGTTTTCAAATTATATTTAATTATAGTTAATTATTAGTATTTAATAAAGATTTAGTATCAGATTTTAGTATTTAATTTTATTTTATTTTTTTAGGTTCCAACTTTTCTCAATATGGCAACTTTTCCATATGTGACAATTTATAAATAAAATATTATTGTTAGCTTTTAATATAATATCAAAGTTTTCATCACTAAGGCATCTTTTTATATTACAAATTTTTAGTAAAACTAAAAGATCTTTCAACTGGTGAGCTTAGTGTAGTTAGTGATCTGCGGTCTAATTTTTCAAGCCCGGCCCGAAATTTTTTTAGAAAGTTTTGCTGGCTCGGCCCGAGCCCGATTTTTTTAAAAAAATTTACCGGCCCGGCCCGAATTTATTTAAATATAAAAATTAATTTTAATAATAACTCAAAATAAAAGATATATGTTATATGGCGTCTAGTTTCTATAAATAAAATCAAATATTTTTATTCTATATAAAAAATTCAACATAAAATTAATAAATTTAGATATATTTAAAAAAAATTCCAAGGCCCGACCCGATCCGGCCTAATTTTTTTAAAAATATTAGGCACGACCTAGCCCGAACTCAATTTTTTTCAAAAAAATAGGCCCAACCCGAACGAGTTGGGGCTTACTTTTGTAGATCTCTAAGCGTAGTATTATTACTTTATGAGGAACACCTTTTAATATTTAAATATAGTAAAATCACGACACTCCTTTTTTAAAATAAACATACAAACACACAGTTTGATGGGTGTTAAAATTTATATTATCCATATCTTTTTTTACTGCAATTTTATCTCAAGTAACATTTGTATAGCGTGCAAATTCTTACTTTTTCCTTAAATTTTTATATTCTAGAAAGGTAAAATATATAAAAGCAGAAAAAAGTTTAAAAAATGAAGTCAATCATGTTTGAAAATTTGTTATTGTGGTGGTGATTATTTCTTATTCATCAACATCAATAATATTAATCCTTTTTACAAAAAATAAGATTAAATTTAATATTTTTGATAAAATAAAATATAGAAAATGTATCTATTAATAAATACAGTTTATAATATATCTAGACACCGATATATGTATCAGATAAGATACAAATACAATATTTTTGCATATAAGTACTTTAACTCTAATAGAGTGCCTCAACCACTTTGCTACCCGTAAAACCTACAACACTATCAACCCTATGTACTCTCCTATAATCGCTATTATTATAGAAATATAAATGTAAGTCAAAATTTAACTTGAGAGGTTCTAGACTTCTGACGACTTGCATGGCCGGATATACCCGGGTAACCCCACTGAATGTACTAATAAATGTTGACGTTATTATATTTTGGATATCTGTATCACGTGCTTTCCATACATTCTCCATCTTAGATGTTAAAGCTATATCGGATCTGTTAGAAAAATTTAAAATAGTTATTTTAAAATTATTATATTATTCGAAAATTAGAAAACTAAATTAAGAACATAATTGTAGTTTTGTAATTAGAATGATTAAATATTAAAATTTTAATATATATAAATAAAGGTATTATAAACTTGATATAAGGCTTAATTATTCCACTGTCTGAAGTGCAAGGTTCGGTTTGATGAGGAGTATTTAAAATTATATGCAATGTTTCTAAAGATGGGTTATTGTGAAACATATATTCTTCGGGAGAGCAAAAAGCCTTGGGTGACAAATGAATAGCGGAGTAATTGTAAGATAACAAATCTAGTTTGTTTATAAAAATGTATATAGAAAATATTATTTAAAATGTAGAAATTTTTATTACAAGAAGATATTTCATTCTGGCATAATATAAATAAATAATCCTAAAAAAGCGTCAATCAAATTTCTTTTAAAAAATATTTGTCCAATGATAATCATCATAGCAATTTTAAGCGAATAGCAATTCCCATGTGATTTATAATATGGCGCATATACTCAAATGCATAACTACCATCATTCCAAAGGTATGTGATGCTATATGGAAAACTTTAAAAGATATCCAGTTCCAGAGAACATTGTGAAAAGGTATTAAATTTAGATATTAATATAATTTTAGATTGCACAAGAATATTTTGAGAAACATGGATTTCCAAACTGCCTTGGCTTATTAGATGGCAAGCACATAAAAATAAAAAGTCCTGCAAAATCTGGAACCTATTTTTACAATTATAGATCTTTTAAATCAATTGCTTAGTTTAGCTGATAGAAATTACAAATTTATATATATAGATGTGATGGTGGCACTTTCAGAAATAGTGGTTTATATCAAAGTAAAATTTTAATATTAATATATAATTTTTAATTATTTTAGAGTTAGAAAATCTTACATTTTAGATTACATAATAATATTTTGAGAAACATGGATTTCCAAACTGCCTTGGTTCATTAGATGGTAAGCACATAAAAATAAAAAGTCCTGCAAAATCTGGAATCCATTTCAATTATAGATCTTTTAAATCAAATGCTTGGTTTAGCTGATAGCAATTGCAAATTTATATATATAGGTGTGATGGTGGCACTTTCAGAAATAGTAGTTTATATCAAAGTAAATTTTTAATATAATGAATAATTTTTAATTATTTTAGAGTTAGAAAATCACACACTTTTTATTCCTTCTCCTAAATTTGCCAATTAATATCATTGTTCCATATGTAATTATATGAAAAATATCAGTCCAGAAGAAAAACTAGAATGTGCATTGAATTGAATACACACCTACTATTATACCTATTCCTGAATATTTAGAGATCAGTAGAACTTTAAATGCATCAAGTACTAATTCAAGAGGAGATTTACTTAAATACTATTTTAATTCTTGAATTTATGTATAATTTAAAATTTTATAACATTATATTGGGGAATCAGAATTTTCTCCTTTATTTGATGGTGGATGAATCAGAAATTTTCTATCTTATGACTTGTTATTTAAAAATTTATATTTTTTGGGGTTATTCTAATTTTCCATTATTTTTATAAAATATGTTAATGAAGTATATATTTAGTAATTTTAATTTATGTGCACAATTAAAAAATCCTTTAAACTAAATTTTTATTCATTTGTATTTGTAATTTATAATTTAAAATTTTATTCTTGCTAGATGAGAGTTTTGTGTTACCAAGGTGTGCTTTGTACCTTCTATTTAGTGTTGTTAAATGGCTCGTTTTGAGCCGATTTTTAAAAACGGCTAACTAACCAGATAAATATTACGCAAGCCTGAAAATTTTGTTCATAGAAGGAACAAAGGTCTAGACATATATTATTAAAATCTCGAGGCTGAGACAATATTTTTCTGGCTAAAATATAGAGTTAGCCGTTTTTAAAAATCGGCTCAAAATGAGCCGTTTAACAACACTACTTCTATTATTAAAAACCCTTAAGGAATGATCCATTCCATATTTAATTTTATACAACTAACTATCTTTTAATTAGATAATTTTTATGCATAAGTAAATATTTACATCTCTCTTATCTTTTCTAAAAATTTGGCCTTTCTACATGCATTCCATAGTGTTGTATATTTTCTCATAACTTCATAATTGTAGAATGTATGTTATTCATAACTTATTATAACATTTTTGATTAAATGTATAACCTTTTTATTTTACTTATATATAATTTGACTATGATTGAAGTTAACTTCCTATTATTTGTTAACTTAGAATATCTTGTTATTTTTTCTATTGTAATTTAATGACAATGTCTTATATTTAATTTTATATTTAGTAACTAGGTAATAAATCATTTGGAAGGGTGGTGGTTTGTATAAAATTTAAATTAGGATGAACATATTTTCAGCATGGTACTTTAATATGTATTCATGAATTTCATATAAATAAATGATAGGTATATCAGATATTTCCCCTTCATTTGATGATAATTTTGAATTTTCCCAATATAAAATGGCAAAAAAAATGTACATATTAGACAGATTTAATTCTTGTAAACCTCTTACATCAGAACTATTTTCTAGATCCAAGGAAAAAATATATTATTCTGGGTTTTCCTGGGCTTGGGAAATATTTATTACAATTAATATGGGCTTGGACGTAGCTTGGGAAACATATTTCAAAATTAATATATTCCTGAAAATTTTTTAATTTTAAATATGGGCTAGAAATTGGCCTGAAAATTTCTTCTAAAAATAGGGCTAGGCCGGATCAAAAACCAAGGCCCATGCAACTTTCATATTCTGATTGTATTTTTAAATGCATTGTGACTTTTTATATATTTTATTACAGTTCTCAACTATCAAAATTATTATGGTCTTTGGCGGGTTTGAGAAAATTTTCCTAAGTGTGTGGACTGGCATAGGTATAATATTTAACATAGAATATTTATATGCTCATCAGGTAAAAACTGTCGTAAATAATAATATTTTTTTATATATATTTGAAATGTCAATCATTTCAAATGAGATTTTTTTTTATCGTTTTTGATGAAAAAAGATTTTTATAATAATTAATTTTTTCATGATTATTAAAGAAAATAAAAGTATATAAAAAACCTTACGTTACTTCGCGATTTTTGTAATTTGAATAGGTTATTTCTATATTTAGATCTTTGCCAGTTTGGATTGTAGCTCAATTTTGATAGTTCTTTTTATTTAGTTTTCTAGTTTGTCATTTCTATTTCTGTTTTTTATTAATTTCTTCTTTTTTTGACAGTTGTTGACCGTGACTACAGGATAGTCTTAAATACCAAGGTTATTCGTTATTATAAGGTAAAAACAATATTTTTATTTTATATTTTGTATCTCTCCTCAGGACACAACGCCATTTTTGTTTAGATTTTTTTTAGAAATTTAATTAATTTAAAAAGAAAAGTTTAAAAAAAAAGAACGTATTTTCAAATATTCTAAAATACTTATTTACCACGGTCGATTTAAAGTAATATAAATTTTCCATATAATGAGATGGGCTTAATGTTTAATTTTGATATTGAGCCTAGCTTATTAATTTCGGTCTTGGAAAGTAATTTAAATGAAATCAAGAACGGCAGACCATAAATGGTAGAAACTTTGAAATGTGATAACGATGATCGTTTGGATATTGTGGAGAGATCTGTAGTTATCCTCCGAGAATTGAAAGAAATTAAAGAAGTGATTAAGATTATATATCAAAATATAAATAAATTGGTTATTGCGAATAGTAATGGTAATAAAGGCCAAATATGTGGTCCGACATGGTCAAATGGGAAAAATATCTCCGTTGAAAAAAATGGTTTTTCTGGTCATAAGAAAATTTTAGAAGATTTAATGTACCCGCTGTGGGTATAGGGGCCGCAAGGTAGTGACCTGTGTGGTCAAAGAACAAAATTTTCTTGAGGGTTTTCCGTTAAAGAAATTGACATTAGAAAATTCTAATGTTAGAAAAATTTCTGGTACCAACACGAATAAATGTGAAGTTCTACGATCGAATTATGGTAAATCCCGTTTGCGTTTTAAATGTAACAAACCGGGACATGTAGCCATAAATTGTATCGAAAATTGACTATATGATTGCAAGTGTAATCATATAGTAAGTAGAAGATCGGGAGGTAGAAATAGTAATCAGGTAAATAACCATGCTGAAATGAGATATGATTCTCGTAAAAGCCGTGGTTATAACATAAATTTTTTTATCCTGATGAGAAAAATAAAAATAATGAAGATTCTAATAATTTTAAATGGGAGAAATATCCTAAGGGTATTGTTAAATATTCCGATAAAAGGGATGTTAATACTTTCAGATGGGAAACATATCCCAGTGATATTGCAAAAAAATATATGAATATTGTTAATGAACCACTAAATTCCGAGTTGAATTTATGTTCAAATAGGAATTCTCATGAAACTGATGTTTCAAATGAGATAAATTTTGATCAGTCAATTAAAACATATGAGATTTTAATGACTGAGAGATTAGTCGAACCTTGTCCTTGTCCAAGAGTTACTGTAAGAGTTGACTCGAGGGACATCGACATGTTGTTCGACACAGGGGCTAGCATTTCCATAATGTCTAGAAGAAATTATTATAAGTATTGGCATGGGGGTAAACTTGAAAAAGAATCTATGAGTGTCAGACAATTTGATGGGTCTGAAATTGTAGTTTTGGGAAAAACTAAGTTGGGATTAAATCTCCATAATACCACATTTTTCCTAGATTTATGGGTAGTTAAGAAAGATGTGGAAACCATCATGGGGTGGGATTGGATTGTTCAGTTAGGTCCTTTCAATAATTATTGGAATATTTTTGCCATACATAAGGGTTCGGCCTTAAATGAGATTAAAAACAAAAATATTGCTAATAATGCTCGAGAAAAAATTTATGAAATAGAAGGGATGGAATTAATCGTAAAAGAAGAGAATTCAACCCTTAATTCTGATAGATATGTAAATTCCACGGAATTAATGGTTGAGGACAATATTAGCATTACTGAAAACACAATGGTTGCTATTGGTATTCATGATTTACATAAAATGCGTGAAAATATATCTCTTTTAATGAAAAAATATGAAATAATTTTCGAAGACAAGTTAGGATGTCTTGATGATTATCAAGTGGATGTAAAATTAAGGGAGGGATTTTCACCTATTTTTCTAGCGTGTCTACGAGTTCCTTTTGAATGGAAAAAGGAAATTGACGAAGAGTTTGATCAATGGGTTAAAGATGGCATTAGTTCCAGTGGAATATAGTGTATGGGCAACCCCGTTGGTACCGGTTAAGAGATCAAATGGAAAATT